CCGCCTCCTTCTCTCCGGAACCCCCATCCAGAACACCCTCGAGGAGCTGTGGTCCCTGCTGAACTTCGTCAACCCTCACATCTTCGACGACCTCTCGGTGAGAAGAGGAGAGAACGGACATGTTTTCTCCCTTGTGGTAGGAAGGGAAAGATGTTTCTCCTCCCTGTGTGTCGTGTTTTCGTCGATGTTGATGCCAAGTGCAAGGATTTACGAAGACCTTTTAACAATGTCAAGTGTTCGTCAATAATTGTTCTGTAGTAGGAATTATTTGTAGCTTAATGAGTTGTTTAGGAGGTCGACAACAAACACGATACGCGAAATTTCTTTTATCATGACGATTTTACCTGTATCTTGGCTTTTGTCCTTTGATCACCATGTCCTCCTATTGAAATCCTCGTTCTTTGTGCCCTGCTGCCATCGGAAGCTTGCCTTACTTGTCCTTGTTGTCTCTCTAAAGAACAACCCCCCGCACACAACTCCACGTGTTTCTCTCTGCTGCTGCCGACCCCTTCCTTTGCGTAACTTTTTTTTTTTTTCCTAAAAAAACATTACCCCCCCCACCCCCACGCACATTGATTGCTGCCTATCGTAGATCTTCCGATCTTGGTTCGGTTTCAAGAACATCGGGAAGGAGACCAGCGTGGAGTCGATCGTCGATGAGCAGCAGCACTCCAAGATCGTCTCCAAGGTAGATCGGAGTACCATCATTTCCTAGATAGATTACGGAGCACGACACTTTGCTAAGCCCTACGTTGTTTGGAAGAAAACTGCGTCGTTTTGCGACCACTTGGTGAGGAAGAGTGTCCGAGAGAAGCGTCTTGCGCTCTGCGTGCTGTGCAAAACTTGCTTCTTTGTTTGTGTGAGTACGCGGCGCTGTTGCTGTGCCCTGATGCCGCATGCGTTCCCTTTACCGTCGGTACAGTGCCCCGACTAGTTTCCTCGCTGACGCTTGCAAATACAGTTGACACCAAGTCTATCTCAACAAGTACCGTAAGGTTGCGAGTCAGCGCACAGGGGTGCGAACGATTTTCAAAGCGTCATTTCTCCACAACCAGGAGGTTACCGCTGTCGAACAAGGCGGTTTTGGAAACATCTCATCGAGCGCTTTCCGGAGAAGTATCAGTTGACGCTCGCACCCTTCTGGGATGTGGAGAAAGTACGCTTTGAAAAGCGATCGCACCCGTGTGCGCTGAATCCCAACCTTGCGGTACATATCTATGAAAGGTTAACCTTGCACGTGTAGACACGACCTCCCTCACACCCGGGTATGGCCTCATGCGAAACGTCTTATTTTGAGCCGCACTGAAAAATGGGTCAGTCGGTTAGCGCGATCGATGCTTGTAAATACAGGCACGAACACTATTATGCAAGACTGACGTCTTTTCATTGGTGAGCCGGCTAGCCCGGTCGATGCTTAATTTTTACGACACACACACTGCGGCCACTCGTCACGCACGTGCGCGCGGCTCTCGGTATTTATTTTGGGTTTTGCAGCTGCACGAGATCCTCAGACCGTTCCTGATCCGGCGCATGAAGAAGGACGTTCTGGCCAATGACGGTCTTCCGCCCAAGAGGGAAGTGGTGGTGTACGCCGGCATGACGTCATGGCAGAGGGGCTACTACGACCTAGCGGGGAGGAACGCTCTGCGGCAGGCGCTGGTGCGTTTCCCGGCTTGTTGATAGTTGTTGGTTTTTGTGTTCGGTGTAAATATGAACTCCCCTAGAGCAAGAGTTGCAGAGCACAGCTGTGTCGTTTGCAATATGAGTCATTGGTTTGAGTCTTGCATGGCTCGGCCGTGCTACAAGGTGGACTGCGTGTCGTCTCTTAATCACGCGTGCCTTCGTTCACGGCACAATAAACAAGTACAGGGATGGTGGACACCGTGTGGTCCAGGGATGTTTATCGAAAACGTTACGTACGAAGTATCATTTCGTTTAGATAATGGTCTCACTGCCCCTCTGACAAATACCTGTAAATACCGTATATGACACAAGATAACACACCCCCTGGGCCGATTTTCAAAGCTCGATTTCTCAACAGCAGGAAGAGTCACAGCGCCGAAAACGGCGGCGTTGGAACTGTCTCGTCGAGAGGTTTCCGAAAATGTATTGTTTCGTTTATGCATCCTCTTCGTCGTGGAGTAATCGAGCTTTGAAAAATCGGTCCAGGGGGTGTGATATCTTGTGTCATATACGGTAATACTGTAGCTTGCAAAAGATATCACACACCCTGAACCGATTTTTCGAAGCACAACCAGTGGCGGTGCCGAAAATGTCGGCGTTGGAACCGCCTCGTCGAGAGATAGCTTCCCGAACGTTTGACTACGGCATCGTCTTCGTCGTGGAATAGTTGAGCTTTGAAAAATCTTCTACACCCCGATCACACCACCCCCTGACTTCCTACTCCACCGTCCTCCCCTTCGGCGACGCCTCTCTCCCCGCAGGGGTTGTGCTATCTTACGTAAATGCATCACATTCACACCACCCCCTGACTTGTACTCCATCGTCCCCCCCTGCGGCGACGCCTCCCCGCACGGGGTATGCTATCTTACGTTAATGCATCACATTCTCTCCACCCCCTGACTTCTATTCCACCGTCCCCCCTCGTCGGCGACGCCTCCCCGCAGGGGAGTGCTATCTTACGTAAATGCATCACATTCACACCACCCCCTGAGTTCTACTCCACCGCCCCCCCTCTTCGCAGACGCCTCTCTCCCCGCAGGGGTTGTGCTGTCTTACGTAAATGCATCACATTCACACCACCCCGTGACTTCTGTTCCACCGTCCCCCCTCTTCGGCGACGCCTCCCCGTAGGGGGTGTGCTATCTTACGTAAATGCATCACAATCACATCACCCACTGACCTTCTACTCCGTCGTCCCCCCTACACCACCCCCTGACTTATATTCCACCGTCCCCCCTCTACGATGACGCGTCTCTCCCCGAAAGATGGACATGGGCATCGAGGGCGCGGCGCGACTGAGCGAGATCAACATCAACATGAACCAGCGCAAGGTCTGCCAGCACCCCTTCCTGTTCGGCGAGCCCAAGGACAAGATGACGGGGGAGTATGTAGGCATCAAGAACCCCGAGGTGTGTTTGGCACCAGAGAGACTGTGTGCCTCGTTTGCGGAGAGGAAACCCCAGGCCTCGAGAGTGAAGGTTGTGTTCTACTTGCCCGTACGAGTGCGTCATATGCATAAGCAAACATGAACCAGCGTCGTTAAGGGTAGTTGATAGTGTTACAGTGCTACTTGCTGGTTTGTTTCAGCTGATTTGGCGAATAGGCTACTTGTACTGAAGATGGAACTGCAGCGGCCGGCTGCCCGAGGTGTGTGTAGCGCCGGAGAACATGCATCCAAGCCTCGGTTGCGGAATGGAAACCGGGCTGATAATGCCTGCAGCTGGTGCTACTATGGTAGCTTTTTGACTGCAGCTGCGTTGATGTATACGCGTTGCCTTGGAGATGGAGATTTAGCGGTCGGCTGCTGCCTAGCACCTGACTTGCCCTCGAATTGACAAGGCCAGGTCTGTTCAAGGCGTAGACTAAGGTATTGATAGACCCCAATCTCGATGTGTTGACAGCAGGAGTGATTACGAGTCTATTGGTTTGTTGTGCACGGTGAGAAGTAACAGAACCCTCCACCGCCCGCGATATCTTGGTGGCAACAAAGCAAGTTGGGGGGTGGGTTTTCGTGAAATTTGAAGAAATCGAACCCTACCCTCAACAAAACCTACCAGGTGCATGTACATTTATTCCTGCTCGGTTCCCCCACTGACGTAAAGAGCAATGGTTGTGCAAAACATGAGTGTCTCTCAATAGCGGCGTCGCACGTTGCGTGATTGTCTCTCGTCTGTCGATGCCACACCGTTTTGTGTCAGATTCTGGTGAGGGCGTCCGGCAAGGTTGCCTTGATGGACCGCATGCTCAAGAAGCTCCACGCGGGGGGGCACAAGGTGCTCATCTTCTCGCAGATGACGTCGCTCCTAGATGTTCTAGAGGACTACCTCCGGCACCGGTAAGTCGTTGTTGTTGCTGGAAATGGTCCTAGTGTTGGTGGTACGGCTGGTGTGGTGATGATTTTGTTGCTGCAGATGATGGTTGGACGCTTTCATTCGTCGTTGTCCGTGACCTCTCTGGTATCTGCTCTTGATTTTTTTGTAAACCTAACCCCCCTTTTAACCTCTCTGGTTTGGTACAGCGAAGCAAGGATGATGACACTTCCAGCTTCTGTTTCATTCTTGGCGAAAACCCGGTGTATCATCGCTCCATCCCGGCCTTGTAGGGTTGCGAGGTCAACGGTCTAACGACTGCACGTGTTTACATTAGTACCCCCGGTCAATGGGGTAACCGCTAAGGCATGCAAAGCATGAGCACTTCCCCGATGTCGCTTGCACCACTCCAACTCCCTATTGACTGTTGTTTACTGGAGAGGGCGGGAGTTCCACTGTATGGACGGTTTGACAGACGTCCGGCCCAGACCCCCCCCCTAAAAAAAAAATCTCACTTCAACCCCTCCACCCCCCCCCTCGCTTCAACGCCTCTTTGACTCTTGTTTACTACAGAGGGTGGGAGTTCCACCGCATCGACGGCTCGACCGACGTCCTGGACCGACAAAGGCAGATCGAGGAGTTCAACTCCAACCCCAAGTTCTTCGTCTTCTTGTTGTCGACGAGGGCAGGCGGTCTCGGCATCAACTTGTGCGCTGCTGACACGTGCATCCTCTTCGACTCCGATTGGAACCCTCACCAGGACAGCCAGGTGATAAATTGAGAGAGGGAAGTGGGGAATTTAAAATATCAGCGCGGCGGTGCTTGGGGGGTACTACGCTTTAGCTGTTGGACCATTCATTGACCATGCGTACAAGAGAGAAAGAGAGAGAGATA